CTCTTTCCCCGCATCTCATCTTTGGGGTATTCTAATTGTGAAAGGTTAAAAAACCCCCACTATGTAGCAACCTAGTGGCACTGATATCCAATCACAGTAATGACTATCAGAGGGAAAAAAAAAACAAACCAAGAATTCAAAAAAGCATCTCTTATGACTTACATACAAGCAGAATAAAAATAAAAGGAGCAAGCTGCAAAAATAGAATAGCTGTTCCTGCCTTCTTAAATTCCACCACTTGTTTATATAAGAGCAGGAACATGGCTAGTCTCCATGAACAGGTAAACATCACATTGCTTAATGATTTAAGGAGAAACTAAAAGAGAAATTTCTTATAGAGTACAAGGTCAGTACAAAAATAGGCATAGATTCCCAAACAGAAGGAGGAGAATGGAAAGGTCATGTATTTTCAGGAGGAGATAAAAAAAACCTACAACTGCTCTTCAAACACTTCAAGTCAGTTGGCATTCTGCCACTGATGATAGTTACAGTTAAGACATAATCCAAACACATTTATTTTTAAGACATCAGTGCTCTGAAATATGTTCCAATCAAAAATCTAAATGGATTTGAATCAAATTGCTTACTGTAGCTAGCATTAAATGAGCTCAAAATAGCTATGCTAGCAACATATCACAGAGAGAAATAAAATATTCCACAAAGTTACATCATATCTATGTTCTTTCACACAGGAAAAAATGAAATCTACAAAGCAATCAGTAGAAGACAGTAGCTTATAAATTATCACCATCTGCAATTGAGATGAAAACACATCATCTATGTAAACGCTAAATCCTATGTAGATAGAGAACAATAATTGAAGAACATTGGTAACAGCTTGAGCTCATGTTTTATGTCAGCTACACAAAACTCAAATATTTTGAAATAATTACAAGGCACACCAGCAAGATTTTGGGGTTTTTTTAATGGAAAAAATACACCTCAGATTAGAATTCAGACCTCTATCTGGCAGCAGTTGTAACTTCCTAGCAATCCAGTGACAGAATATATAAAAACAACAACAAAACAAAACCAAAACAAAAAGACCACCAACCCAAAAAGGTCTGTATGGGGGTTGATTCCAGTAAGAACCTTAACAGGTTTTAGAGACTGAGAGGTGTCTGTGAAGATAGGAACTCAAATAAGCATTCATTGTTTTAACAAGAAGACAAACAAGAAACACCTCTACTTAATTAGGAATAAAAAAAATAGTCCAGAGTGACTTGAAACTTTCAGATATTTCATAGCAATAGTGGCTCTAACCATTCCAAGTTTTATTTCCAGTATGTAGATGCTATAAAATTGCATTTAATTCAGAAGGAAGATATAAAGGTAATTAATACACATGCAGTATTACAAGATAAGTTTTGTTAAAAATATGCTCATAAGGGAAAATTTACCTTGCAGTTCTGCAACAGTCGAATGAGATGCTCAAAGCAGTTACTGTTAAGGAAAATTGCCTGCAGAACAGGCCTATCTGTGCAGTCTAACATGGCTGTGATGGTATCTATAAAATTAAAACAGAACTGGCATCAAAGACAAAACATTTCCCAAAGCCAACAAGCATTTTTTCTGCACGTTACATAACAAACATGAGGAAAAATTATACAACAAACTATCTGCTGTGAATTCTTTGATCAAGAATGATGTGCATTTTAAATACAGAGCACGAGGCCTAAAGCTAAACATTTTGATGCTGTAAAAATTATCATGTAACCTACTATTTCTGGAAAAAAATTCAGCTATCAAACATCTTTGATTGCTCTGGGGCTCTGTTCAAACTCATTGCTATTTGTGAGTACATAAGCAGCCTGTCTTTTATTTAAAGCACACAACTACTTGCTTCCTCATGAAGCAATTACTCTGGAAGTTTGGGAAAAGAAATACCTTTATTTATATTTCCCATTTTGAACATCAAAGTGGAAACAACTCCAAATCCTGAATTCTTATCCAATGACTTAAACCCACTGTTTCAGATCATCACTTTTGGCCAGTATTTACAATGCTATTTGAAAAGTGAACTATCACAAAACAGCCACCACATGGGTATTTTATTGCAGACCCATCTTACTATGCAATTATAGGCTGATGTCAGCTGTTGCCTAGCAAAAGGATTTTGGGTTGGGTTTTTTTGGAGTGAGAAGGTTTTGTGGGGGTTTTGTTTTGTTTTTTTTTAATGGAGACTGGCAGTATATGAACCTTGACACTCTGGTTAAATGGTAGCAATCTGATAGTCTCTTCTGTTCTTTTGGATTTTTTTTGTAGTGAATGATTATACAAGAACACATCTAAAAGTGATGTCAATGAAGAAATGTTTGCAATTTTTGGATTGCTTACCCAAGCGAACATTTTTTGGTAGAACATTCAGTTATGCTACTATCATGGTTTAATCATTACTTGCTTCAGAGTTATTATGGATACTTAAAGGAGCTGCACGGTTGAATACTCACTCAGCATTTGTATCTGTAGTGCTATGAACCTGCTCTCCCACTGCCTGCATCGCCTTGGATTAGGTAAAGCTGAATGGTCTGAATTAAGCAACTTGAAATAGTTCTCCAATATTGTACTTGTCTCCACTTGCCGCTGGTCAGAACTGCTGGTTAGAAGGATATGGACAACTTCCGTCAGGCACTTCAGAGTCAGCTCTGCCTTCCTGCTCACTTCCTCAGGGTTCCTGTCATCCCAGTTATCACAGTCTGCCAAAACACGCATCAAGACTTCCATGGTGGCAGGAGATACTGCTTGAAGAGCATTCCTCTGAAACCCATGGGGTAGAGAAGTGATTAAGGAAAAAATAACAAAATCAAATCTCTTCAAACCAGCAGATTCCGAGTTATCTGAATCATTCAACATGCATTATTATGCCTCTTAATGTCCTGTAATTGTTAAATATGAAACATTCTACTTGGATTGTATCAATGGCTATAGATGAAATGCAGCCCAGCTTGTAAACTTAACTAGGGTTTCTTTTTCAAAGAGAATGCATAAAGGGAAAAAGATATGTAATTTAAATGCATGTTAAAAATTCTTATAAAGCAGCCTTGATAAAGTGCTAATTCTAGGTAATGCTTCACCTGCATTTTCATTTTAGATCACTAGATTCATGATACTTTAAAATTTTTGAAAAGAACATAATAATTCACAAACACATCCAGGCCCCAGACGCATTCCCCTAACCCCTCTTCCTGAGGGTCTGACTGCATAGGCTGAAGGCCACCTTTAAGCTCGGGCAGGAGCCCAGCCTTGTAGAGAGCTTTGAGAGGCCTTGTCAGGGACTCCCTGCTTTCTCTAGAGCTGCATCCAAGCAGCTCTCAACCTTTTACCTGCCTGAGCTATACTGCAGCGGGGCCTATGCCAGGCCATGTACTGTCTTGAACCTTGACTGCCCAGATTGACCTTAGACCTGCCTCATTACTATGGATGGACTGGCAGCCACTGGACTCTTAACTGATCCAAGTCACCATCACTAGACCAAACCCCCATCCTGATGTGCTGACCAGACTCCACACTTCCTGACTTGATCTCAGGCTTCATCACTACAGAGTTCTCTAGTGATCTAGGCTGGTTGATCCTGGTTACCACCTCCAGACCTACTCAGATCACCTTGTTCAAGTAGAGTGAGACTGCACTTTTGCCAGTGAGGTCAACTGTCTCTGCCTGCCTGGTCATCATGCTCAGTCCAGCCTGCCTTTCCTGATGGACAAGTGCCTGGCTTTGCTGCTCCCTCTCTTCTGGATCATCATTTGCTTGTGACCTGACTAAGTAGCACATTACAAAGTCAGCCAAGAGAGTGGATGCTGGCTTTGCTAATAACGAGCATTCTCTTTTCTTCACATCCTTACATTTTTTGAAAGACTTTAAACAGCTTCGAAGCTATAAAGGCCCCATGCCTCTTACTGAAACAACTTCTGCCATTGGGAAGTAAGCTAGATGAATTTCATGTGTTCATACAAAACTTGTATCTCTGCAGGTGGAAACTCCTAATCTAGTTATTCATTTTTTTTTCTTTATGATATAAAAATAGTATAGTAAGCTCATACAAATGTGTGGTTATCATTGACAGCAAATTCCTACTGTTCTTTGAAAGGAGGACCTAGCTTTTAGCATGTAGATACTATTGCACAGAATTACCCTAGATTTCATAAGACAAACAAACAATTCATAGTCAATAATAAATTCTTCTCATGTGTGGGTTATGGAGTATTTATAAGCCTTAAACAGTGAACATGTATTTGGAGGCTTCGGCAGCTGAAAAGAGTTCAGAGAATCCTTACCTGACCACCAGCCACAATAGCTCCAAAAAGATGTAACAGGCAACATTTTAGGCTTTCCTTGAGATGTTCACTTTCTTGAAAGCATTCTGATTGGAGTAAATAAAAAGGAGGAGGACTCCTTACTTTGGACATATAAATTATAGAAAGTTTTTCCTCTCAAAAAAAGAACACCAAACAAAATAATAATAAAAAGCATCTCTGCTCCCTGTCATCATGCAAATTTTTATTTAAAAATTTTTCAACTATATAATCTCCACTTTCTTTTATGTAAAGCATTCCAGCATTATCAAAGTAACATGACAAGACCACACTTATCAGGAATTCACAGAGCAACCTTCAGGCTGCACGAAACTTTTCATGCAGGCTGGCAGAACAACAGACATAGAACAGCTGTTGATCTGATCCGTGATGAAACATGAGCCCATTTTGTCCATACTAATAGGAAATAGAAGGACATGTTAACATGCAAGCAGCTAGCAAGCATGACAAAAGTTAGAGCAATTTTGGCACAGAATGTCTAATGCCATATACAGTGCAGGTAGCTCAAAAAAACAGTCTCTGAGCTTGCTCCCTTTATGCCAAACGTCCCAGGGAAGCCTGTGCAGGTCTGTAACCTTTCCAGAAGTAGTCTTTTTAAAGGCCATTATCCTGCATCTCTTCTTATGCCATATCTGATACAAATTAACCATAAACAGCCTCAGGAACTCTTCTTAAAAATAGATGTAACCCGGATATTGTTGCTATAGCAATAACATTAGATTCAAAGTAGCTGCAACAAAGTACAAAGGATTATTTGATTTGGAATTAACCATCGTAAAACTTCCAATAACTTTATGAGGTAGAACTGGTAATGACTTGGGTTTGTAAAAAATGAGATTTTAAACAAATAATAGAAACTGAAAATGAAAGAATTTTATATTCATTAAAACAATAATACAACCTTTAAGACAACTACCGCTTACTGGCAAGTCAGATTTCTGACTCTATACTGAGTGATTAAGCCTGTTTTGAAAGAAAATTGCATACTGGTCTTCAAAGGAAACAAAGCTTAGATGATCACACTGGTATAATGCTAGTCCCACCACCCCCATGACTTACAGTCTCTGAATCTTTTGGGAAAACTCAGACAAATTAAAAGAGCAGCACCTAGCAGACTGTGCGTAAATCATTAGGGTGGGTAGACAAAAAAAAAGCCTCATATTAGTGCTGCCACAGCAGAATGCCAAAAGCACATGCTCCGCAATTTCTTGTTCTGTCTTTCCTGCCAGTTAGCCAATGAGCAGATGAGTATCTGCCAGCTAATTAGTATGCTTGTAGCTCAGCCACAGTATAGAATATTTAAGGGATTTAGGAAGAACCAGAGTGCAATGTACTGAATGGGGAGGAAAGAACCTGCAGATGACATTCGTCAGTAGCAGCCTTTAGAGAGGGTTTCCGGTACTCTGGCACAAAGATAATGGCATTTTACTGGCATCAGCTCTTTGGTCTTTTTGGCAACTAGCCTATTTTATGTAAATAAAGAGGGAATCTCAAGGAACAGGATGAGTATATGACTCAAACCTAGAGAAAACAATTTCACAAATGGGAACAGTGCCTTTCTTTTTTATTTCCAGTTAAAGCTGAGTTAAGGGCTGCAAAAAGGACCAATTTCACTCATACCCCAACTCCACCAGCATATTCCTACCACTTCAGTTCTATTGGCACTTAGCTGCTTCAACTCTGTTGTCACCAGCAATTTGGTATGCTAAACGGGCAAACTATCTGGGTACCCCATCTTCCCAAGATTTAAGCACAGAACATGGCCACATAAGTCCTCCTTTTCCACACAGCCAATTGGTACCGGTAAGAACACACGAACTCCAAAGTAACCATCATGATATTTAATGGCTTAACCAGACACAAAACCGAGCAGTTTCCCAAAACGTAGTCCAAGGAACATTTGCTCATTTGACGGCATAGAGTTGCCTTTTTTCTAGCTATTAAATCATATTAATGGACATAAATGCATGAACGTTTCCCCGAGATTATTTTTCCATGTGAGTTATCGTTACAGTTGCTACAGGGATTTTCCATTCAATCGCTGTATGTACCCTAATAAATACCGAAGTTGGCAATTTAGAGAACCAACCCTTTTAAACCACATTAGGCACTGAAAGAAAGTCTGAAAAAATCCAAGCTTTCCAAGATGAGTAAGAATGGCAAGATGGTGATGCTCAGAGCAAGAAACAAGCAAAAAAAGCAAGCCACTTCATTCAGCCCCAGAAAGCAAGCAAGGTGCTTTCACATTTATGACACATTCTTAGGGGAAAGGAACTTGGAATCACTAAGTTGATTCCTTCAATGATAACTATTTTTAAACATACTGTGGATGATACTTACGGTAAAAAAAAGGGACAAACTCAACAGTGAGGGAAGCTGGTTTATACTTCTGTCTGCTCTTCTCAACCGTACTAAGGAAACGCCTGCAATTACATTAAAAAAAGATACAGAAATCAGATATGATACCTTGGGTTTATGACTTCATAATAGAAAACGCTGCCAAAAATCAGTAGTTATTTTTCACCTACAGGATGAAGAAAAATAGTACAGTAATATTTTATCCTGAAAAAATGAATCACAGCTAATCCTGTATTTACTGTTCTACTGCTAGAAATACCTTAGCTTTATACAATATGGTTTAGGTGTGAGCAAGCGGTTTTTTAGTCCTTGCTTACTGTAACTGAGTTAACCAGCTAGACTGCCAAATCTTTTAAGCATGCAGTTTGAAATGGACACAAACTACTACTATGGGTTCATTGGGGGATGGGGGCACAGAACGACATGACGACACCATCAAATTAAAGGGATATAATTCTACTGATACACTTATAAACTTTTCAAAAATGCAACATATATACTGTGATCTTCAATATCTTCTTTTGCCCTAATTCAACCAGCTCTGCCTCCCCATCCCTTTTGGCATCCTTGTTCCACCAGTTTAGAAAAATGGGCCAGTTTTTGAAAGGAGAAAGCAATGGTAGAACCTTTATGTTGGTCAGCTACAACCAAACACCTCTATAGTATATCCTCAAATTTAATTTTGTTTTAACTTCTAGACTGTAAGTAAATATATCGTAACTCCAGAAAGGTATTTAAATCATATTCAGTTCCAGAAAGCAGAACATTTTCCTGTGGTGTGATTAAACTGATTCATTGCCAAATTCTACACCTTCGCTGGTTATAAATTCACTGATTTTGAGTACTTATACTCTACCTAAGATACCATGAAATGTGCTGGCACTGCCTACATGATTATCTGAAAACAGCTTAGCAGTAAGCTGGCATGCAAGATGTGAGAACTGGTATCAGTTCATGCTCTGTCCCAGAAAAGGGGAAGTCTTGTGTTGCACAGAAATACCAGACGTTGTGATCCCTACATGCTCCTAAAAATTTTGAGCAAAATAACTCAAGCTGTTATTGAGAATACTACTTTCTGTTTCCATAACAGCCTCGTGAAACCTGCAGTTGATGCAGAATTATGGCATACTGTAGGTTTCAAGTTACGAAGAAACCCCAGCAGCCAAAGTAGGCAGCTCACATTATCCCTGCTCTGTTTGCATGGAGTTGCACAAGTGACTTGCTGCACAAATGCAAGTCACAGACTATATGTTGTGAGAATGGACCTGAGATTTTACAAGACTAGCTTACATGAGATATGATCTCTCTATGCCTTTAGTTATTTGCATGCACAGGTCTAATATCTGATGCATGTCAAAATGGTCCTGATGGAAATAAAATTGAGGACCTAAAGGAAAAGCAGCTCTGAATGATAGCAGCAAGGTGCAAACAACAATTTCAGCCCTTGACAACACAGCAGAAAAACGTGTTAACTATATAAGACTATGTACATTTAACATTATTGTAATTAATTTGGGGCTAATAAGGAAGAACTGTGCAAGAAAAAGATCTCACAGAAACTTGTAAGAGGTCTCTGAAGAGCCAGTTATAGCACATAAAGTGAATGACTAGCAGATTCAACAATCAGGGCCTGTACCTAGAATTAAGACAGAAATTAAGCATTGCCAAAAGCCCATTTCCTGGCTTTCTACACTTTCCACCTTACCAAAAGCATCACAACTCAGCTTTTCACTAAATGAAACAAGATTTACTAGTGCTCTTGGGATATATTATTACTCTGACAACTTTGGTGGCAATCAAGTTCAGTTCCTAGCATGCCTGCTTCATGATGCTAATTTTGGTAGAAAAATTATTTCATTAATGCTATTCTAAAGAGTGTGTCATGAAAAACATCCTTAAGCACACTAGTAAGTGCTCAAGGCTATCAATTTTAACAGTTGTAAAATGCAGTAATACAGAGGTAACAACTTTTTATTTCAGTCTCACATCAGGCAGCAGTAGTTCTGTCAGAAACTACACTTTGGTCATCTAAAGTTATCATTAAACACAGTACTTATAATCCCCTTCCAATCCACACATACCCTGCAATTCGCTGCCTCCAGTTTCGATATGGATCGTAGAGACTTTCACAAAAAGCCAATGCATGTCGCACAAATTCTTCTATGGGGGTCTGATCTGCCAGTTCTTTTTCTTTTGTTTTGCTTTTTAACTGAGGAAAAAAAGAAAGTTGTGTTCAGAAGATTTCTAGAAATTGAAAATTCATCTTGATCTCCTTCAGAACAGTTCTGAGCCCACAAATTGTTTAAATTGTTTCCCACACAACACTAGTCTTGAAAAAGTGGATCACATAAGCAGGAGCAGGAAGTATTGGATGGCAAAAAATAAGATGAGAATTGTTAATCACATACCTGTTGAATGTATAACGTAGTCATGGTGATAACATGGTTAATGTATGAACACATCCCAATCTCTTCCACATTAGCCAAATTTCTATGAAGACAACATAAAAACCACAGAAATGTACACAGTGCACCATTTGAGGCTAATTCAAATAGTGTTTATTTTAGCATTCTGTCTATAACCATACAAAAGTATATCAGCATTTCAAAAATATGCTCCAAAAGACTACATGTACTCAAATGTTTATTTCTGTCACAGTAACAACAGAGCTCACAAGTTTTCTTCTAACTGGAATGAAAAGAAAGGCCCCAGTCACTCTGCTGTAAGCCAATTCTATCTGGAATTTGGGGTTTAAAAGGTTAAGCAGATTCCCAGGACACTCTAAATAGAAAGCTCAGAAACGGCATCTGATAATACAGACAGCAACTTCCACTCCTCCCACACTACTTGTTCATAGACTGTCTAAAACTTTAGCAAACATATTACCCAGAAACATTTATTCACTTTAAGTTCTCCCAAGGAAAACAAACATCTAATGAATTATTTTAGAACATAAATAAATCAACAGCAATAAGGAAATAGCATACACATGTTATTTCTCAGTCTTGAGGATGTCACAAAGATCAGATACTGAAGTGATGACGTAAGGAGAACTTTACAGCAATTAAAGACTGACAATAGTTTGTACTTCAAACATGGTACCACCACCTACTCAGCTTATATTTAATATTCCAGGAAACAAACACTGCCCTACAGCCTCTTGTATTGTTTCATGGGTAAGGAAAGACAGTGGACTTAAAAGCTGCTCCAAAGATTCCTCAGAAAAGGAGATTCCCTTCCTCCCTTAATGCAGTTTATAATAGAAGACTGAAGAAATAGTGAGGATTAGATCCCGAAAACGAGTTTATTCACCTGCTTCAACAGAATCAAAAATAAGGCACAAGTTTCAGAAGTAATCCAGTTGCATTAACAGTGTAATCAGTCAGTTTCTCAAACTGTTTAGGGAATTACAAGCATGTTAAGAATGTGAAACAGTTCTTCCTGTACAACTCTCTCTCAAGTTACTTCATACCCAACACTTGTTAGAGAATGCCTTTTAATTAAGAAGTATTTCTTATGTGAGGTAATCCATATCTTGAATTCCCATAGATACACCTTATGTAACTACAAGGAATTCCCTTCTATTCCATTTCTCATGGCAACCATTACTGCCAAGATGGTTGCATTGCTCCTGCCCCTCTGTTTTATTCCCTCTTCCTTTATTTTGAAGACTGTGAGAAGTGGCATTTCTCTGTTTCTACTGGAAAGTGTCAAATCACATTTTATGTATTGTTAGAACCTACATTTATAGGCTGTACCACGATTTCTTTAACAAAACAATAGCACTGCTGAGGTAACAATCAGAACAAATACCTGCAAAGGATGATAAAGAATTTCACAAGTAAAAGTGAGAGAGCTTGCTGCTGCTCTTCTAGTCCATCTGACATTTTCTGGACACACTGTAGCAGCTGAAGCCTGAGGACCTGAAGAATGTTATCAGGAAGCAGTGATATTCCTGGAGGAATGTCATCCACCCTAAACAGAAAAACCACACACAAAACTGTTAATCATACACATGACATGCTACCAATCAATTTCAAGGTGCTCATGTAATATTCTGATAAGCCTCTATAAAAAACATTGCTGAACTGATGGCTCACAAACACTTCCTAATGAACCAAAAGGAAAAGCCTGGTGGCAATATGCCAGCTTGAGCTTCCTTTTCCCCAGCAATGAACTCCACTGGGGGGGCGGGGGGGGAAGGTGTTAAAAAATTCATTAAGTGGATTCCTCAATGCTCCTCCATGCAATGATCTGCCTTAATTGCCACAGGGAAATTGCATGATCTTCATCAGGTAAATGGGTGGCCTGGGAAATCCCTAAATAAGGAAAGGGACGGCCACAACGGAATGAAACATGAAAACTAAACTCAAAGGGAATGTTTTCAACTTTCTACTGAAGATTAAGTGTCCAAATAAATGAGATAGCAATTATTAAATAGTTAATGAAGCCCAGTTGGTACTCATGACAGTGAACCTCGTGTCTTTCTTACATGAATTAAAAAGCCATACAAGCTAAGATTAAATACAAAAAGAAAGCTGTTCAGAGTAAGATTAAACAAAGGAAAATGTGAAAACCAAGGTCTTAATATGCTGGAGAGGGAAATCTTAAAAATCTGAGTCTTGGCACACCAATTTTGCATGAAAAATCACCCATCCTTATTAATTTCTGGATATCATTAACCCAGCAAACAGGGAAATTTTTTTCTGCTATGTAATTCTTTTTAGTAGTCAAAAAGACTGTTGTGTTGCTGTTAATATTAACAACTCTACCAAGGCCAGACATGGCCCTGAAGAACGTGAGATTTTCTTGCCTATTGTTTTTGCTAAACTGAAACATTTTTAGAAATATACTAGCGAGAACCAAAGGAGGAAAACAAGAAAATTGCAAAACCAGTTGCTAAGCCAATAATCCAGCTACAGCCACAGAGAAACCCACTTTCAGCAACAGTATGGAAAAACACAGGTGTGTTAGAACATTCTGTTTTCAGTTAAGTCCTTCAGGAGTTAACACTGAAGCCATCACATCACTTGAGCAATATTTGTATCATGTTTTGCCTTTCCTTAAAGGCAGTTTTTCACTTATTACTGTCATTATGACCTTCCTGGACGTGTATTTTCATGAATGTTTTCACTTTTTAGCCAGATGTGGAACATTGGGCCTCAAGGATGCTGGGGAGGGACTCTTCATTAGGGACTGTAGTGGTAGGACAAGGGGTAATGGCTTTAAACTTAAACAGGGGAAGTTTAGGTTAGATATAAGGAAGTTCTTCACAGTGAGGGTGGTGAGGCACTGGAATAGGTTGCCCAAGGAAGTTGTGAATGCTCCATCCCTGGCGGTGTTCAAGGCCAGGCTGGACAGAGCCTTGGGTGACAGAGTTTAGTGTGTGGTGTCCCTGCTCATGGCAGGGAGGTTGGAACTAGATGATCTTAAGGTCCTTTCCAACCCTAACTATTCTATGATTCTCTTGGGTGAATACTGTTTATCTACTGTTGCACATGCTAAAGAGTTTGCCTCTATGATCAGCTGTGTAATCTGACACATTCTCTATGAAGTCTACACAGGAAGACAAGCAAAAGCCTTACTCATGGCTAAAGACAGGGGGTAAATCACAGCAAACCAATTCAGCTAGCTCAAAAACTCACTAATATGACACTCGCATATGTGTATCTCTGCAAGAATAAGCATCAAAAAGTATGGGGAAATGCAATGACTGACACTAAACGCTGTGATACCAATTATTTACAGGAAATGGAGAAAAGTATGTTGTTTAGGTTCTAAAGTTGAAAAGGAAGGGAAGAACTGAGACCAAATTTAGTAAAACTAGACAGGTGCAAGTGACAGCAAGCTCCCACATCCTAGAAGACAAGTGCAACCCATAGATATACAAAGGACCAAATACTGCTGATTCCTTTGCCCCTTCACAGAGTTGTGCAATTTGCGTTTCGGGTTCTGGGATTCAGAATCTTAAAATTTGTGTTAAAAATTTCTGAATTATTTCTAGGGCCTCAGCTTTAAACTGATACAGACACTAACCACAAAATTAAAAGCACCTGCTTTTTTCCAACACAACTGCCAAGAAAGAAATTTCAATTTCTGTGATAGCAGCTTCACCCCTCAAATGCCAGCAGATCCATACCCTCTAGGACTATAAGCATGGCTCCTCATAACGTGATAATTTGCCATCTCTGTATTAGGAAAACAATAATTTTTGACAGCTAAAATTATATATCCAGAACTCATTTCCCTAAAATGGCCATCCAGTCTTTTTCAGTAAGATCATAAAATGCTTTACAAGAAAGCAAACCGCATACCCTTCATGCCTCACGTCCCAGAGAATGTTTTCTCTGCAGTAGCTGCCCGACTGTGCTATTGCACAACCCATGAGCATTTACTGCCTTACGCAAGACTGGCACAAGAAATACTAAAACTGAATATACTATAGAGTATGTAAAAAAATATAAATGTTTATAATCAAACTTCTTTTCACCCCAGAGCAAATTACTACTGTACCACCACAAAAAAGTTAAATTTGTGGACATGTAGTACTAATTTTTCCCAACAAGACTAGCTGTGTAAACTAAGCATTCAAAAGCAATCAAGAAAAAAAACCCACAAAACCCAAAAATCTCAAAAAAATTATATCTTAACTGACATTCAACTGCTGGTACTCTACCTCATACATATGAGGAAGACCTTGACACATTTGGGTTCTTTTTGTTTATAATTTCCTAGCATTACATCAACATTATGCAGCAATATAAACTGCCATCTCAGGTGTCTGAAAGGAAGTTAAGTTACTCTCTAAATTGTATTCACCTGTTGCAGCTCAAACTCACACTGGCACTTTTATCCTCTCCTCCACCAGTGGTAAGCACTTCGGAACAAAGTGCTGTAGAAAACCAGGCTTTACTTTTTAACAACCATGAAACCATGTAATCAGCATTCCTATCATGATTCCTGCATCATTTTTATGTGGGTTTCAAGTCAATAAATTAACAAAGTACAGTTTCTATGGTACTTCGCATGAGCTGCCTTTAAGCTGCTTTGCTTGAGATCATGCAAACCAAAAGCAGAAAAAAGAGCATGAGAATACTCTGAAGGCCTTTGTTGTTTCTAAAAGTATTAACCCAAATGACAATTCCTCTCCTTCAATGAGGGGAAAAAACCTCCCACCAGCTGGCAAAGGTTTTATCCTTTTCACAGTAAATACATATGAAATAAATAATAGAGAAAGGACAGGCACTATAAATCTTTCATGCTCACTGCTCAAAGCCATCAGCATAGCTTATTTTCACCTTTTCAGTAAAATCACCTCACCTTTTCAGTAAAATCAAGAACACCATTAAAGAACCATTTCATTTAAAAATATAGAGTAGATGCACAAAGATGGAGCTGTATAAGCCTATAAGCTGCATAACTGTATAAGCTCTACTTATGCAGTCAAATCATACCACTGGATAAACTCATCCTCTATTTAGAGATTTCCTAATTCTGCACTATGTAGCATCTTTCAGATATCCAAAGCAGATTTCAGGAAATTATATATTTTAATTTATAGAAGAAATACTCTTATCAGTTAAACCAGGAAGTGACAGTGCCAATCAAAGAGTCCTTCTTTCAGGAAGGAAAAAAACCCACACAACCACTAAGTGTTTCATTACATTTCTTAAGTGGTGTTTTCTTGGATGCTAAAAAACCCACATATGTTTTACATTGACACAAAACTTCATGCCTGTCTTCCAAAAGGTTAGTTTTGTCCAGCAATCTGTACAAGCTTTCTTCTCCCTACACAGTTTCTCATTATTTCCTGGCATTTGCCCTTCCGTACACCAGGTCATTCAGGCATGTAGCTGTGAAACATACTAAGATTTATATAGGGAGAAAAAACCAAAACAAAACAAAGTATTAGTACACTCAGTTTCTCATTTACTAGCATCATGTATCATTTCCAAGACCGAAAGACAGAACTACTTATTCAATAACTTTTTTTTACTGGTGTTGCTTGAGTCCACAGGTCCTATGGCCCCAAGGAAAGACTCACTGGAAATCAGCATTTGTTGGTTCTACACTGACCTACTTGTTCTTTCTTGTGGCCTTAGTAATATCAGCTCCACAATGTAAATGCCTGCAATATAAATTGACAAACCCCAGAAAGATGCTACTTCTCACATGCCTGATTATCTCACAAATGCCAATAAGGGCAGAAATTGCAATTATTTCTTGATTCTAACATCTACTCTCAAAGAGTGTAATTTTTAGTCCAGCCATCAAAGCACAGGACTGATCTGCCTTCATCCCTGTATTGTTTTGATACATTTTCTCTACATCTGTTACACAAATGAGTCTAAATCTACATGGGCCTATTCTTCCAAACTAAATCACTAATCCTGTCATTAACCTCAGAAAAATAAACTATTTTTATGCTCACTAAGCCATCATATAGCACAATGAAGATGCTGCTATTGTTCTGCACAACTAAGCTTCATGTGTTTTTTGTTTATGTTGCTGCAAAAAAACACCACCAAAAAAACCCCCAAAACTCAAAAACCATCAACACAGAGAAGCAAAAGAACTCTTAGAAACTTGAGAGTACCAAGACATTCTTCTCTTCCACTGTTCATTCCAATATTAAGTAGTATGTTAAAGATAACCTGTGCCAAAGGATAAACCTTTTCCCTTAACATTGTAAGATGCATTTTTGACACTGCAAAGAAAACACGTCTTACAAAAGAGTACAGAATTAAATTGAAGGTCTTGCTTCTTGGTAATTGCACCATATATTTTACATTCATATAGGCATTATGCAGAAAATTTTAATACAAAAAGCCAAGCAGCCCAGTTTTTATTCACTAAGATCCAGTTGCAGCCTTCTTTATTTCCTTGTAACAGTAGAGGCTATCGCTTACACTTCAAACAGGATCTGATCCAAAGCCCATTAAAGAATTTCCATTGATTTCAACAGGGCTTGGACCGCAGCCATCACGGAGGGAGAGCCATTCTTTGCATTCAAACACCAGTAGCAGTATCAGCTATAATACTGGCACCACTTCTCATGATTTCTGAATTGCACAGTGTTCATTCTTCCTCAAAACCCTTAGTTCATGCAAGCATCTCAAAAGCAAGAGAACACATCCAGTGCTTGAGTTTCTATTCCTCATTTGCAAAGTTAGTCTTCAAAACACAATCCTTAGAACACAGCAAATTCAAAATACTAAACATGGAACTCTGAAATGAGACTTCAATACCATCTCATGATTGTATCTGAGAATTTGTGGTCAGCAACATGAGTGAAGTCAGCAATATTCTTGCCCTGAACTGAAGTCTTCATGATTGCAAAGAAACCGCTTTAAAGTCTACGGTTTGTACATGTTTTTTAAAAGATTTTCAATGAAAGACTCTGATATCTTAGCTAAGCATTTCACCTCATCCTTAATCTTAAAGCAATCCCTGAAATAAAATTACAAAACCCTTTACCTACTTCCCTTCAGTCACTGCTGATACAGACACCAAGCACTAACACTGACTAATATTATTTCGTACACAACGCTAAATGAATACTTACTTTAAAAAAATGCACAAGGACCAGTATTTCTACGAGGAAGAGCAAGTAATTACTCATGCCATCTCCTGATATAATGCAAATACCAGTATTTGCCTAGTTTCATCATTCCCAGCCCTATCTGACCTTCAAAAGAATGGGAGTGCCACTCAACAACTGAAAAATCTTTCTTTTGTTTAAAGGCAATATTGACATTGAACAAAACCGGGCTCTCAGCCAGTTCTGGTTTAGATACGAGAGATGAACAGGTCTGTAATTCTACATACCTAGTTGGCAGCTTCTCAAAGTCCACATCCAGAAACTGCTCATAGCTAGAAACAAAGCTATCCAGCCATAGCTTCAGGTAATCTGGATCTTTCTGTAAAAAAGAAGAGAACATTAGGCAATACTGCACTCAAGATAATCTGCCAACAACTCTGTAACATTAACTTGAATGGAAAGCTTTTCTTTAATGCATTTCAATGGGAAAAAGGAGGAATATGCAGATTTTTAGAACTAAAATTTAAAAACCAATGTCCTTTTAAATTCTCAGGCATGTCGTGCTGATGTGACATTCTTGCTGTATTCATTAGTTCATGTGTTTCTACTTCCTGGTACCAATGCCAACCAAAGCATTTTAGCATCTCCTCCCCACTGCCAACAATCTTTATTTACTTTCCAGAGTAATACATACCAGTTTTACAAAATTACTAGTATATTCTAGTCTTGATAGCATAAATGTTAGTACTCCACACTCCTTATAGCTTGTAAAATTAAATAAGAACTCCAATGACAATCCTAATCACAAAATAATTTGCTTTTTGCTTCAATCATTGATCAATATGGCAGCTAGCAGCAGATAAGAGCCACATTGAGTGTTCCAAGAGACAATGCAGAACTTGTGACTTGTATACTAAGTATTTATAAAAGACATGAATTTAAATTTAGGTTTCCTAGTTGTTCTTCATAGAGCACACAGACTCTGTTCATGACCAGCAGTTCCTCAGGGCTGGGCACCATTGCCAGAAGGGAGGACGAACACTGAAACCTGTACAATTGCCAAACAGACAACACCAGCAACAGCAACAGGTAAATTGAATGCCAGAAGCATTTTGCTGATTAGATGTTGGTAACAGGGCTAAGATAACACTAGGAAAAAGAAAAATAAGTGTGTGTAT